GAGTACTCGAAGTACAAGGCAAGACCAGTTCATTCGATGTTAATGTAAACTATATTTAAAGATCCAACTTCATCTACACACAACGAAAACAACGAGAAATAACAATAACAAGACAAATTCAACAATTAACAAGAGAATGATTTTTGACACCAAAATAAAACCTTACGTAATACAAGTAGGGTGAGAAATAGGTCACTAGAGAGTTCAGTCCAGCAAAAATAATGGAAAAATGGAAAACAGTGAGATGTGACAGCAGCAGAACCTCAGCTGCATACAAAAAAGTCAATGAGCTATTACTTTACTGCTAATGATCAATAAGTAACAGCTAAGCAGCTTCAATCGAATCTAAGGTATTAAATGTGAGGTAAATTTTCAAGGAGATGCAAAATTACACTAAAATATCTGATTTGCTTTGAGAAGGACGAAAACAAGAATATGTTCATCATTGGTTTTAACAATTTTATGGAAATTCAGAGTCATCCATTGACAACAAAAATGTAAAGCTATTTTAGTACAAATGCTACAGAGGTAATTAGTAGGAACTAGCCTTGTGTTTTGGTATAAAAGTAAAACCTTCGGGAGTCGGTCCCAGGATCATGCGGCTTATTTCAATCCAATCTGATGCTCGTCCACTACCTAACAATGTTTCTAGTTCGTTGCGTCCACGATAAAGAGGGGGGCGATCATTGATGCGCTGTGGTAGTCGCTCAAGAAGGCCAACAGGAATGTATCTTAAGTAAAATGTTGCAATGATTTCCGGAAATGAAAAAGAAAAAATGATGAGGTATTCGAACAAAGACAAAGACGACCTGCATTGAAATGACAAGAACTCTAAAAGGAAGCGTCTCGTCCTCTCCACGCCAGCATCATCGCTACCCCAGTGGTCTAGCCCATAATTTACGAACCTGATTTTCGTGGATATAGCAAAAATTGAAAAATTGCCGCAAGAGTAAGAGGCTATGCATAAAAAAGCGAAATAAAAGTTCAGTGTGACCTACTTCCTCAACAAATCCAGTCTTTCGTTCGCTGAAATATCCCATGTCCTACGTTCTTCGATTTCGGTGAAAATCCAAGGTTTAATGAGAGCTCCACGCGCAACCATTACGCCACTAATAGGGTACAGTTCTAATCGCTAGAATACTCGATAAAGCGTAGGTTTCGATTTGACATTAAAAAATGCACGACTTTTCATTAGAAATAGTTAAAAATTTCTTTCGAATTTACATATATCGCAGAAGTTCCCGATATCAGAATGCGTGTTTAAACAAAATGCAATAAAACAACGTTTAAAATACCAGAATAAGCGAGATAACATCTATCGTGGTGGTATAAGCTAAAGAGCAGAGATAAGAAAAATTTGGATTCTAACCTGATAGTAATCCTGCCAGCTAAGAACATCGCCGCATACCCATAAAGGTACATCGCCGCAAGCCTCAAGGCACGGAGTCACGAAATCCCAGTTAGCTAGCTTCGTGTAACGTTGTTCCCTGTACAGTGAAATTTTGATCCTACAATCCAATCATGTTTTCTTCCATTCTTACTTGCTGCGCGGATGAAATGAGATCAAATCTGGTCTAGCCGACGCAACCATGGTTCTGATGGTTTCGTCCGCTGTGAGAATACCCTCTCTAAGGCCAGTGCGAAGTTTAACTGTCAAAGGAACATCGCGCATTACTCCTCGCATTGCCGAGATTACTGTAACAAAATCGCCGTACTTGATACTATGATGATCGGAGTAAGATAAAGTCCATCCTTTACTATCTGAGATACAGCAGCGACATCGAAAATAATAAGACGAAAGGTTAAAATAAGAGTAAAAATAAGCACTCAAAAGATACAAAGTAAAAGATAAGT